GAGAGAGAGATTGATTTGTTGTTCCACCCATCCATTCATTGGTTGCTTCCTGTATGTGCCCTGACCAGGATCCAACCAGTAACCTTGGTGCATCAGGATGACACTCCAACCAGCTGAGCCACACTGGCAGGGTGAGAAGAGCTCTTTATTAGTTGTCTGTAGGGTTGTGTGGACTGCCCAGGTGAAGGGTACTCATAGGGGAAGGGCAGTCCAGCAAAGGCTTCCTGCAGGAGGCAATTTCAACTGGCCACCCACATCCGGGGGAAAGGGGGTTGGCCTCTGCTCTGGTCCCAAAGTTTAAAGTTTGGGAGTGGCCAGGCTCCTCCCCAGGAGGCCTGGGTCTGATTTCCAGGATGGAAAGTCCTGTGGTGCAGGCCAACCTTGAGACAGGCCCAAGCATGCAGTACAAGCTGGGGTGGAGGTGTGGGGGAGAGGCTACTGGAATAACAAGCCACCTAGAAGCCTGGGGAGGAGTGTAGGGAGGAACCACTGCTAGCACCAATGCCTATGTCCTCCCTCAGGGCCCCTGGGGGCCCAGCAGCTATAGATGGGATTCCAAGGGTCCCAAGGTGGGAGTCCTCTGGCATTGGGGGGCTTGAGGCCAGAGGGCAGCCAGCTCCCTTTCCAGCTCTTGAAGTTCTTCAGACTCAGTTCCTGGGCCTGTGGGGACCTTAGCCCCTCCAAAGACCTGCTCCCCAGCCCAGCAGCCCTTTCTCTTCCTGGGCCCTGGCTCCATTGGCAGAGATGAATTCAGCACATCAGGGTCCTGGGAGCACAGCAGGGTAAGGGAGCAGTGGGCCAGTGTTGTTTTATGGCCTCCCTCCTGACCCCCAAGACAGGATGGTCAGGGCAGGTCATGGACACACCTGCCCTGTATTGAAGTCCAGTATGGAAGATGCTCCAAGATGCTGGCAAAACTAGGGCGGAGTTCAAGCTGATGCTGCCAACACTGGGTCATGATGGGATACCTGGGGAGAAGTAGCAGTTTGTGCTCAACCATGGCTGTGAAGGACCCCCTCCCTGGGCAACACTCCAAATTCTGAGGCCCTAGACAGCCCCTGGGAGGGGCTGGCGATCAGTCCCACTCTGGCTATGAAGTCCTGCACCTCCTGGTTGGTGCCAGGGCAGAGCATATAGCCCAGTGAGAAGATCTCCAAGAACAATGCCCCAAAAGACCTGCATCATGAGTGGGGGGAACCTGATGAAGCCCATCAGGCACAGCCTCCCTTTCCCTCACATGAGGTGGCCCAGGGGAGGGGAGGGTGTGGTATCACCAGGAGTCTATCTTGGATGTGAAGATGCCCTCCAGAAAGGCCTCTGGGGCATCTACTTGACTGGCAGCAGAGCCTGGCAACCCTTTAGGTAATAACTGTCTCTATAGGAGGGAGGAGGGGAGTGATGAGCTATTCAAATCACAGGGGCTGCTGGGAAACTCCCTTGAAGCTGCAGCCTTCCCCACCTCCCCGGGCCCCACACTTGTAGATAACTCTAGCCATCCAGAAGTCCCCCATCTTGGCCACTCAGCTGGGTCCACTGCAGCTCAGCAGACAGTTCCTGGCAGCAATGTCCCTGCAGAGTTGGGAGGACTGCCAGACTCAGAATCTCTTGCTCTGATCTACTTTCATTAAAGTTATGTGGAAGGTCTCTTTCTTGGGGGGCGGGGGGCAGTTGGGCTAAGGGATCCCATGAACCAGAATGACTCCTGACCTGCCAGTCAAGTGGATGCCCCAGAGGAAGATTTTCCTCAGGTAGTGGCAGCCCTGGGCTATGTCCTGGGCCAGCTGGAGCAGGTCCTGCATGGCCAGAGGTGATGGCTGGGCCTGGGTAGGGCAGAGGGTGCATTTGCCCATGAAGGTTTTGGCACACAGGGACAGGGTCTTTAGAGGCACCTGGCGGGCTGGGGGAAGGATCTTAGCAGGTGTGGTGGGCTGCGCCTCAGGAAATTTCATGTCCCCTCCAGACATCAACTCCAGCAGAATTAGGTGAGGGCCAGCCTGGAGGCCGAGCTCCACACAGTGCACAATGTTCTGATGGCTGAACTTGCTGGGCTGGTGGTACACACATCCCATCACCAGCAGGGAGAGAAACCACGCTTTAAGCTCCACAAAACTGCAGGGGACCTCGGTGTCCCTAGACTTGCTACCTCTTAGGCCCTTGGTGAAGAGAGGCAGCTCCTGCAGGTGCTGGGTGCCTTCCCCACAACTTCCACATGGCCTGTGGCCCCAGGTGCACCGCCATGAGGAAATCCCGCTCGTCCTGAGGAGAGCAGAGTTCGGGCAGTCTAGGGAGGTTAAGGGCACCGAGCTCCTGAGGTCCCCAGACACCAGGAGGGTGGGTTGACCCTAGCATCAGCAATTGTTTCTCTCTCCTTGGAACCCTGCTCTCCTGGCTCCAGCCAGAAGCCCCACCCCCTCTCACCTTGATAGCCACCTGCAGGGGGCTGGGGTCCCCAAGAAGGCCATAACCAGTCCCTCATAGACCTCTCCAAAGGCACAATGGCCCAGGGCTCTGTGTGAGAAGGGTTAGAAGGGAGTGGGTAGCTGAGCTTGAGGAAGGGTTCTAGAGAGTCTTGTGTCGCTTTACCTCCCTCTCCCCCCTCCTTTGCCCAGCTGGCCTGGAGGGTCTGGGCTTTCTCTACAGCATGGCATGTTCCCAGGTGTAAGCCCTGCAGAGGCAATGTTGACTGGCACAGAGCCAGGGCAAAAGAGAAGGCAGGTATGGGGTCGGGGCCGGGGGTGGGGGTGTCTATATGAGGTCTACCCTTAGGTCCTTGCTGACACCGAAGAGAAGGCAGGTATGGGGTCAGGGTGGGGGTGGGAGTCTATATGAGGTCTACCCTTAGGTCCTTGCTGACACCCTGAGGTGGAGGCAATCCTTGCTCCAAAGGAATCACATCCTAGGGTTCCTACCATCCCAGAAATTAGGGATGACATCTGACCCTGGACAAGTTATTTTCTATTTTGGAGCTTCTCTGGCTTCTATCTCCTCTACACAAGGTCTTTGGGCCACAGCTGCTCTCTGGGATCTATAATTCACCAGGGACTGGGGGAGGGGGGATTCGGAGTGCATAGGGTCTCAGAAGGAGGGGGAGGACTCACCTGAGCAGAGTGACATTATTTGGAGAAATCTCTCCCTAAG